GCTCGTAGGCTCCAAGGCCAAACTTGGGTCGGTCGTACGTTAACCACTCCCTATGTTTAATACCCTCATGCCCCCGGGTGTAGGGGGAACTGTTGTGTGCTATGGTTTGTGTGCAGTTGTTAATTCAAACATGTGCGAAATTTAAACAAACATATAGATAATAAAGCCAAACAAATAAAGCAAGCAAAGTAAAGGGGAAAAATATTTAAATTATTATTTTTATTTTATTAACTTCATCAATTAAATGGGTCTGACCCTCTTTAAACGTCCCCAGTGGAGTCGTCATCTGTCGCAACCCGAAAATTTCTGATCTTGAGACTAATGGTTTAGACATCCGTTTGAAGGTCTCATTAATTAAGGAATGCCCAGACGCCAGACTAATCCTTAATTAATGGTTTTGAAAATAGGTTCATGGAGTCGCCACCAATGTTTTACTCAAAACATTGGAAAAAGAAAAGGTTTTTAAAAGTCCAATAATGACCTTGATAACCAGAATTGGGTTCGGGGGTCGATTACGTGTGGGGAAGGTATTAAGCACCCCTACAACGCCCTAAATCGATACCCATGATGAAGATAACATAATAAGAATTAATAATTTAAATATTTAATCCCCTTTATTAATGATTATTTACATGAAAATTAAATTATACGGTGAACTCTAAGATATCTACATAATTGCGTTTATTATAGCAATATATAAAATAAAAGAAGAGAAAGATAGAACAAGAGATTGATGAGTAATACCTCGTAGCAAGCTTTATTAAATCTTCAACTATGGAGATTTTAGGTGCTTTGCGGTAACCTTTTACACTACAATATGCCTCACAAAACTCAAGAAATACAATAGGAGGGAGAGAGAGAGAAATTTCGAGCTCTAAGGAGTTTTGGACAAAATTTTTGGAGTCCTCAGAACTGTGGCCGAGATTTCTATTTATAAGCATCAGACGTGGGCCAGAACGGCCCGTTCCGGATCTGAACTTTATGTATTATTTTTGCACCCTAGAACGGCCCGTTCTGAAATGAGAACGGCCCATTCCGGGGTACAGATTTTAGCCCCTTTGATTGGTTTGGAACGGACACAATTTTAGGCCTTCTTAGGAGTCTCGGAACGGCCCGTTCCAATTCAAGAATAGGTCGTTCCAGACTTGGGAACGACCTGTTCTGAATTTGGAACAGCCCGTTCCGGGCTACTAAAAATATTTGATTTGGGCTTTTGGGCCCTCTGATGTCCTATCTTGTTGTTTGTATGCCCCCGGACGAAATTGGGTGTCTACAGAGGGGAATATAGATCATTTACTGCCTTTTTTACAACTCATGGTATCACTCATAGATTGATTTGCCCTCACACACATCATCAAAATGGTGCAGTGGAAAGGAAACATAGATACATTGTTGAAATTGGCCTCACTCTTCTTCATAACGCTTCCTTAACTCTTACTTTTTAGGATTATGCTTTTTCAACTACAGTTTACCTAATTAATAGATTGCCCACTGCCTCATTGAATTTTGACATTCCTTTCACTGTTTTATTCAAACAAACACCAGATTACAAGTTTTTAAGGACCTTTGTGTTGAGATTGTTGAGATTTTTGAGTTAATTACTAAGTTAATTACTGAGTCAATTACTAAAGCCTTATGAAGATCTTTATGAAGACTGAAGAAGTTTAAGTTTTAATGATGTTAGCATTAGATTTGTTTAGTTTGCTTCATTCATTTTTGTATTTCATGGCTTATGTTGAAAAGGATAATGTATTGCTTGTTATTAGACTTAGGCTTGGATGTCTTTGCTTCTTGTGGTGAATTAATTTCAAAATTATGTCTTGTTTTAGAAAGCATAAAATTCATATTTTAACTTAATGTTTCTCATTTCATGTGAAAACATAATATATAAGAGATTATAATGTGTTTTGACATGAAATAGAACTTGGTTTATTCAAAAGAATTCATAATTAAGTTAGGTAATAAATTACCATGTGAGATAATAGATTACTGAAACTTAGTTTTGAAGTGGAATTTAACATCTTCTCTGTGATAATCGATTACCAAATGAAGTAGTTGATTACCATGGTGACTTTTGAGTGAAAACAAGTTGAAAAAGTATCAAGATAATCAATTACCAACATTAGTAATCGATTACCACTGTTGAAAAATGAGTTCTATGATTTCTGGAACACGAGATAATCAATTACTAGGATCAGTAATCGATTACCTCTGTTCCTGTTTCTCAGATTTTAGTTTTCATTAAAAATTGGTAATAGATTACCTGATATTGGTAATACATTATTGTTGTTACGAATTTTTAATGTTGAAATCTTACTTGCTTTATAAATATAACTCTTTTCAAAAACTTAAAAAGTGGATGACATATTTGATTAGAAAGATCAAAGAGTGAGAAAGAAAAACATTTTCAAAAATTTGAAAATTAGTTTTTGAGTGAAGATAAAATATTTTCAGAATAATTGAAGAGCAAACAAACTCAAGAAAGATGTTATCTTGAAATAAGTTCAAGAAAGTCAAGAAAGCTAAACAATTTATTGTGAAAGATCAATCTGCACTATAGGTGTATCTTTTCTGATCTTGTAACTCTTGTATGTATAGCTGGACATGCTATGGTATGTGACTCTTTGAGATAAGGGTATCTCATGAGAGAGTGAAAGAGAAATCTTTAGGTTTTCTCAAGTGGATTCTTGAGGTGCAAGAATTCTAGAGATTGTATAATCTTTTGGGATCAAGATTAGGTGATTGTGTTTTCTGATTATAATATTTCTTGTACATGGTGTTTGTAAAGAATATTATAGTAGAAAGACTGGATTTAGCGGGGAGCTAAGTTTGAAATTGGATGTAAGCCTTTGTATGGCTGAACCAATACAAATCACTTTTCAATTTCTCTCTTTACTTTCATATCTTGTTATAGTTCATATTGAATTGGTAAAAAGAATTTCAAGAAAGTAAAAGAAATATTTTTTGAATATTATAGATTGCTGATTTGTGAAATCTGATATGATATATGCAATCTAGTAATAAATTGAAAGAAAGTAATTACTAAAATCAATTTGGATTATAACATCTATTTCGCTGTGTAATAAATATGATATACTTTGTATCTTGTTTGGTTTGTAATCTGAATTCAATTAGTAAAAAGTTGTATGAGAAAGAAAGAAATTAGCAAGAAAGCAAGAAATACCATTAGAAGCCGTCTAAGAGAATAATCTATTCAACCCCCCTTCTAGATTTGTGTTCTACCCAGGACCAACACTCTGGATGTGTTTGCTTCCCTTTCTTAAGACCCTATACTACTCATAAACTTGATTTCAGATCCCAGAAATGTGTGTTTCTAGGGTATTCAAATTCTCACAAGGCTATAGTGTCTGTTTACTTTAGGTAGAATTTACATTTACAAGGATGTGATTTTTGATGAAACAAGGTTTCCTTACCTTGACCTTTTCCAGCACAATTCCACTAAAGTAACCTCCCCTTCTCAATACTTCACTCTCAATCCAAATTTGTCTCCTCCATGTTCTAATCCTATTGCATCCTCTCTACCTTTTATTCCTATTTTAGAAACTAGTAATCATAGTGTTCAAGATAATACTTTATCTGTGTCACCCACAATGTCACAATCCACTTCCAGCCCTTCATCCTCCTCTACGTCTTCTGCTCACACTAATAATGTTTCCAGAAGTATTAATAATCATTCTATGCAAACCAGGTCCAAGTTTGGGATTTATAAACCTAAGATGCCCCCTTCTTTATTTTTGGCTCATAGTGAACCAAAAAATGTAAAACAAGCTCTAAGTTATCCATATTGGTTTTCCGCCATAAAGCAAGAATACTCTACCCTATTGCAAAATCACACATGGGATTTAGTTCCCTTACCCTCTAACAGACAAGTTGTTGGGTGTAAATGGCTATTTCGGGTTAAAGAAAATGTATATGGGTTTATCAACAAATTTAAAGCTCATTTGGTGGCAAAAGGGTTTCATCAAGTTCATGGTTTTGATTTTCATGAGACATTTTCTCCTGTTGTTAAACCTATCACCATTAGAGTCATCATTACTCTTGCTCTTACACTACTACAGGATGTATTATCTACATCGATTCTGGAAGGTAATCTACATCAGTTATAAAACCGATGTAGAATAGAGCGACTTAGAAAAACAAACACTTCTACATCAGTTGTCAGAAAAACTGATGTAGATTTGCGTACAAATCTACATCGGTTGTAAGTAAAACCGATGTATATTTTACCACTATTCTACATCGGTTATACCAACAACCGATGTAGATGTGTTGGAAACCGATGTAGATTGAATTTAAAAAAAAAAAGCTTCATTTATTTTTTTAGATTCTTTCTAGGTTATCTGTATAAACACACACACACACACACACACACATATATATATATATATATATATATAAGCAAGTGTAATGGCCTTCTTACTCCTTTCCATGTATATATAAAGGGAAAAAGAAATATAGGAATATAGGATAAGCTCCTTATACACATTTTTCAAAAGAAAATTTAATAAAATGATTAATGCTCTCAACACACATGTTGTTATCAGTTATTGTGTATATTATGAAGATATTAAGCAACATGTTTGTTTAAGAAAGTAACATTATCTTAGCAAAAACCACTACCAATACTAATATGTTGACACTAAATAAAGGTTTAAGAAAATCACGAATACTTTTCTCTTGGGTCCAAAAGTCATGGGCGAAAATTCAATCACTTCCCATGTGAAATAATCTATTCTGCCTGCTTTGGCTTAATAAAGACTAGTGCCAGACATTTAATAATCCAATAAGAATTGATATTTATTCATTCTTAAAATTGCAACATGTAAACAAGCACATATAAATAAATCAGATGGACAAAGTAAACAAGTTAAGTGCCAGACAATGATTAAACAGGGTTTTGCTAATTTGACCAAATTTACAATTGCACGAGCTATGAAAAACTATCCATACTTAATCAAATGCAGAAGTTTAAATAATACCTATTATTGTTTGCTCGCAAAACTTCTAATTGTGTCAGCTGCCCTATTTCATTTGGAAGGCCACCCAATTTGTTATTGGAAGCATGCAACTCCCTTAAAGAGGTAAGAGATTTGAGTGCTGGTGGAAAAGTAGTTAAACTGCATAATTCATGTTAAATAAGAAAAATTACATTATGATTAATAGACATAATTCTTGATCATCTTCAAACATAAAGATCTAACAGCCAAAGGTAAAAAGAATTGAAGTATTTCTTCTAACTATGCAAAGAAATCAAGCTAGAAACTAGTTTATAGGTTATCCACATTCCATTTTAAATTTTGAAACTGTCCAAACTCCAAGCCAAAAATTTGACTTGTTTGGCCTTTGATTAATTTGAGGTAAGAGATCATGTCCACACTTTGTATTTAGATTTAACAATCTAGACCTACAAATTATTTGGCTTAGTAAAAATCTATCTGCAATAGGAATTTAAGGATTCAAGTCCAACATCTTGTTCTTATTCTTATTTAAACTATAGTATTTAAACTTGTATAATTAGAAATCAGCACCTGTGACTTTGATATAGTAATTTCCTTATATTACCTACATGATATTCAAAAGAAAAGGAAAGTAGTTTTATCTTATATGTTTTAAAATTCTTCATGCAGGGTAGTGATCATCTATGAGTTAAATACATATATTATATATTCTCCAGCCAAAAATAAAAAACAACAACGTATTTTGATTATTATTATTTTTTCAATTTCTCTAGGCATATTTTCTAAGCCCAATGAGAAATAACCTATCACAGAAAAAATATAGTCAAAGATATGCACTTATCAGATATGCACACATATACACAAAAACACATAGAGTATAGCCAATACTCCTTAAACTTCCAACCAAAGATTGAGCAGTAGTTCAGACTAGCCTGAAAGAAGATGCTAGCAGAACGTAAGGTGCCAAAGAAACACCCAAAAATACTCCATCTTTGCCATAACCAAGGAGGAAAACAAGGAGTAAACAACTAAAATTTCAAGAAAAAGTGGAAGAAAGGAAGAAGATATATAAGAGGAAGAAAAAGAAGTAGGAAAATAAGAAATCAAGGAAATTAGGAGAAAACTAGCAAGCTTGGAGAAATAGGTATGAGTTAGATGTTTAATTTTATTCATGTCTATATAATTGTAGAATAAGAATTGATTTTTACTTATGAGTTGTGATGCATGGAACCTTAGGTTAGTTGATATAGTTTTTTATTGTACTTATTAACAACTTTGATGTTTTAAGGTTAAATCTTGAAGTGGTTGATTTTTTATGATTGGATGTTACTATTGAAATTATTTAAATTGTATTTGAAAAGTTGGGTTGAGAATAATTTTTGAAGTGATAGATTAATAGTGATGCACGTTGCATATTGCATATTGTATAATGTAGTTTTTGAGTCAAAAGATTTTTAGGGAGGAAAAGAAAAGAATTTAAAAAATATATATATTTGAGAAACGACTTTTATATCAAGGATAATTGATAGAAAAAGAATGAGTTTTGAAATTTTGAATTGATGCTTTTTATGTGAATTATTTTCTTTAAGTTTATTATCTGAGACATTGGTGATAAGAGATTGATGGAAATCTAATCCCCAAGGATCCCTTTGGAAGAGGTAAGACCAAGAAGGGTGAAGGTTGATCTAAGGAGTCTCTATAGTAAATACATTGTATAGTTGATTTCTTGTACTTCCATCTCTTGGTCCAATTGCTAGTAACACTCTCTAGCTTGCTAGTCACACTCTCTAGCTTGCTAATGCCACTCCCAATCCTACTACTAGAAAAATAAGAAAAGAGTATATTTCTAGATTAGGTTAAATGGAGTCAAAGTGCCCAAGTAACCTACCCTAGAAACAATATACAATAGCTAATAAAAGGAAATAAAGTGTCTCTCCAATACAAAGGCAAAAATACACCTATACAAGTATCTACTATATACAAAGTACAAGAAATCAACTATACAATGTATTTACTATAGAGACTCCTTAGATCAACCTTCACCCTTCTTGGTCTTACCTCTTCCAAAGGGATCCTTGGGGATTAGATTTCCATCAATCTCTTATCACCAATGTCTCAGATAATAAACTTAAAGAAAATAATTCACATAAAAAGCATCAATTCAAAATTTCAAAACTCATTCTTTTTCTATCAATTATCCTTGATATAAAAGTCGTTTCTCAAATATATATATTTTTTAAATTCTTTTCTTTTCCTCCCTAAAAATCTTTTGACTCAAAAACTACATTATACAATATGCAATATGCAACGTGCATCACTATTAATCTATCACTTCAAAAATTATTCTCAACCCAACTTTTCAAATACAATTTAAATAATTTCAATAGTAACATCCAATCATAAAAAATCAACCACTTCAAGATTTAACCTTAAAACATCAAAGTTGTTAATAAGTACAATAAAAAACTATATCAACTAACCTAAGGTTCCATGCATCACAACTCATAAGTAAAAATCAATTCTTATTCTACAATTATATAGACATGAATAAAATTAAACATCTAACTCATACCTATTTCTCCAAGCTTGCTAGTTTTCTCCTAATTTCCTTGATTTCTTATTTTCCTACTTCTTTTTCTTCCTCTTATATATCTTCTTCCTTTCTTCCACTTTTTCTTGAAATTTTAGTTGTTTACTCCTTGTTTTCCTCCTTGGTTATGGCAAAGATGGAGTATTTTTGGGTGTTTCTTTGGCTTGGTTTATGTCTTGTTGTGAAATGTTGTTTTTGTGAGCTTTTTGGGGTGGTTTCACCTATTTATACTGGTCTCCACCTCCATTCTCAAATCTTCTAGATTTGTGGATATTTCTTGATATTTCCTAAGATTTTTAATAACATTGTGATCAGGTGTCCATGTTGTAGATATTTATAGGACTTTCTAGAATTTCTTTAATTTATTTAAGTATCTTAATGGTTAAGTTTCCACTTTATTTAATCATATGATGATGAGATGTCCATTTTCTAGAATTTTTAGAGTTGTTTAGTTATCTTAATGGTTAAATTTTCAATTCATTTTAATCACATGGTGATTAGGTGTCGTTTTCTTTTTTGTAGAATTTTGTAGATCATCCTATTTTTTTTATAGAATTATTTAAATATCTTAAGGTTAAGCATCTAATCCATTCTAGATTTCTATTTTGTAGAATTTTATAGAACTTTCTAGAATTAATTAAGTATTTTAATAGTTAAGATTTCTACCCATTAAATAATTTAGTGAGTATGTATCTACTTTGGAGACTTTTGTAGAACTTTCTAAAACATTGTAGAATTATTAAAGTATCTTTCAAATTAATTATAATTTTGATAAACTAATATCATCATTAAAATCTTCACCATTAAAAGCATAAAATTTGGTCTCTTGATCATCTCTTAATTATGCTCATTAATATTAATTAAATTAATTAGAATTTGTTTATGTGTCATAATTTGATTGTTTGAGACTTGTATTTTAGTTTAACCTAACTAGACATTTTTATTAATTATTCTAAGTATACTATATTGATGATAAAATTATTTAGATCCAATTGAACATTTTTTTCATAATTTTCTAGCTTAAGGTTTTAGTAGAATACTTTCCTCAGGTTAAATCATTAGAGAATTTCTATAAATTTTAATTTAGAGATTTTCTCTCTTAACTGTATTTATTCTTGATCTAAACTCAATAAATTATCATTTAGGTTATAAATTACTTAAATTTTATTAAATTGAGTTTCTCAGATTTTATAGCGTGCTCACAACGCTATTCGAGAAACAGTCAAATTAGACAATAAAATACATGTGACTAAATTTTGTTAGATAATGCTACATAAATTTCATTCACAGTAACTTACATACTGTTTAATAAATATTTATCATAATAAAATATATAACAATTTACATAAATTATATACATAAATAGTTACAAAAAATTAGGATGTTACAATGAGACAAGGTTGGCATGATGATAAGATTTATGAGAGGCAGATGCTAAACATAATGTCAGGTATGCTTGTTGTGAGGTAGAGTAGAGACCCTATCATTCCTCTATAGATCGTCTAATCCACAAGTTTACTTGAATCGTCTTTTGACAGACTTCTAGACAGGTGCATGGGAATAGGCATAAGCTTACAATCATCCATTCTAAGCTTCTTAAGAAGTTTCTTGGTGTATTTTTGTTGATGAATGATTAATCTTTTTGTTTGATCTGAAGTCCTAAGTAGAACTTCAGTTCCCCCATCATGATCATTTCGAACTCTATTTGCATCAACTTAAAAAAATACTCACATAATGATTCATTAGTAGCACCAAAAATAATATCATCTACATAAATCTATACTACTATAAAATTTATTCAAGATTATTTTTTGAATAAAGCAGTGTGAACTTTGCCTCTCACAAAACCATTTCCAAGTAGAAAGCTACTTAAGCTATCGTACCAGGCTCTAGAAGCTCGCTTTAGTTGAAGTTAACAGAAATACACACAGAAGGGGGGTTGAATGTGTGTGTACGAATTTGAAGGAATATTTTAAACGTTTTCGCAAGAGTGCTATTGGCAGTTTTAAGTAGAATCTTTGTCTAGTGACTTTTGTTTTAACAAAACTAATTTTCAACGTAGAAGATGAAGTAAACTGGTTTTCAGTCTGGAAAATGTTATCGTCTAGTAAAGTAGTTTCAACAAGATCAAATAAGTTTTCGTCAAAAGCTTTTTTGAAAAACGAAGTAAATAAGGTGCAACGTATGTAATGCTATAAGGTAAAGAGAATGCATAGACACTTATACTGGTTCACTCAATCTGAGCTACGTCCAGTTTCCTTCCGCAGTAGGGTTCCACTAATCACAAAGGATTACAAGTATTCTCAGCCACTTCTGGCTCGTTAACTAGACGCTAGTATTCTTAACCACTTCTGGTTCTACAAGTACTCTCGACACCGCTTCTGGCCCGTCGGTTTCACTCACCAATGCTAGTATTCTCAACCACTTTTGGTTCACAAGTATTCTTTCTACCAGCCTCTTCAGGATTTACAGCAGTTGTGGGTTTTGAGTGTGTGTATTACTCTCACAAAGAGGATTGAATAATTTCTACACTCACTAAGGTGCGTAACCTTAGTTTTTCTGAGATAGGTGTCTGAGTGTTTGGTTACTCTCGTAGAGAGGATGAACTATTGGCAACACTCACACAGATATATAGGAAATCTTTTTAGAGAAGAAAAAGATTGATTTATGCTCTTGATTTTCTTTTTCGTATTGCTCGTTTTTCTCAGCTTCTCTGTTCTCTTTCTTCTTCTTCTTTGCCTCAATATTTATATACCATTGATAAATCTGCCCATTGCTTGTAATTTGAATTTTTTTGTTAGAGCATAGGCTTGTGTCATTGCAGATAGAGGTTTCATTCATGTTCATGCAGATATTTTCATTTAATGCATTTGATCTTGTATTAAATGTTTTCTTGTATTTGTGGAGCTTTTTTTGTGTAGTTGATTTTATCCATATCTGACTCCATTCATGATCTTGGTATATTTGTACTTTTCTCATCAGTTTAGCTGCTACAGTGCCGTCTTTTTTTGAAAAGTAGGTGTCCTTTCTGTGACGCACTCGACTTTGACTTGTGAATGCATGCTTGCCCAATTTTTTATTCACGATGATGTCCTCTTGTGTGTTTCTTGTATAATTCCTTTCAATGTGATTAGCGAACTTCAAATGTGCTTCAACATTCTACCGAACAAAACAAGACAAGAAAGCTTAAGAACGAATTTACCAAGGAGACCTAGCTCTTGATACCAAATGATGGAAACTTGTTGGAGAATCCGGAATGATGTGGAACTCCCTTCAATTTCCTCCCTAGATCTTCGACTCCTTGATTCTTCTTAAGCTTTTCTAAGGTCTCCAATGGAGGAGGAGACCTTAGAGCCACCACGGTTTGCTGGAGAACTCTCCCAAGAGACGCCACTCCTTGATGAAGAGATAAGTCTCTTCAATTCTCACCACACTCTTCTAGTGAAGGGATAAGAGAATTGGATGAATATCAAAGAGGTTAAAGACTTTTGGAAGAGAGAATTTTTGTGCAATTTCTGATCTCACTCAAAAATATCATTCAAAAGTGTTTTACAATGAAACGAAAACAAATATATAGGAGTAGGAAGCTTGGAGAGCAAGCTAGCCTTAACCATGGTTCACTAGGAACCATGGTAATGTCTAGCTAACCATCCATGGTCTAGAGGCTTGGAGAGAAAGCTACTCACTTAGCTTTCTTGGTAAGCAAGCTAAGGAGAAGCTTGAGAGAGAACAAGCAAACCGGCCATGTGAACACAAGGCAAGGTGGGCGGCTCATGGAATTTATTTTACTCCAACCGGTTTTGAAAAATGTTGATTTGGTTTAGTTAGGTTCATCCAATGTGAAGGGAACCTAGCTAAATCAAATCTATGAAAAATTAGGAGTAAAATGAGTCTAATATGTAAAATTTAGCCTAGGTCCATCTCTTGGTCCAATTGCTAGTAACACTCTCTAGCTTGCTAGTCACACTCTCTAGCTTGCTAATGCCACTCCCAATCCTACTACTAGAAAAATAAGAAAAGAGTATATTTCTAGATTAGGTTAAATGGAGTCAAAGTGCCCAAGTAACCTACCCTAGAAACAATATACAATAGCTAATAAAAGGAAATAAAGTGTCTCTCCAATACAAAGGCAAAAATACACCTATACAAGTATCTACTATATACAAAGTACAAGAAATCAACTATACAATGTATTTACTATAGAGACTCCTTAGATCAACCTTCACCCTTCTTGGTCTTACCTCTTCCAAAGGGATCCTTGGGGATTAGATTTCCATCAATCTCTTATCACCAATGTCTCAGATAATAAACTTAAAGAAAATAATTCACATAAAAAGCATCAATTCAAAATTTCAAAACTCATTCTTTTTCTATCAATTATCCTTGATATAAAAGTCGTTTCTCAAATATATATATTTTTTAAATTCTTTTCTTTTCCTCCCTAAAAATCTTTTGACTCAAAAACTACATTATACAATATGCAATATGCAACGTGCATCACTATTAATCTATCACTTCAAAAATTATTCTCAACCCAACTTTTCAAATACAATTTAAATAATTTCAATAGTAACATCCAATCATAAAAAATCAACCACTTCAAGATTTAACCTTAAAACATCAAAGTTGTTAATAAGTACAATAAAAAACTATATCAACTAACCTAAGGTTCCATGCATCACAACTCATAAGTAAAAATCAATTCTTATTCTACAATTATATAGACATGAATAAAATTAAACATCTAACTCATACCTATTTCTCCAAGCTTGCTAGTTTTCTCCTAATTTCCTTGATTTCTTATTTTCCTACTTCTTTTTCTTCCTCTTATATATCTTCTTCCTTTCTTCCACTTTTTCTTGAAATTTTAGTTGTTTACTCCTTGTTTTCCTCCTTGGTTATGGCAAAGATGGAGTATTTTTGGGTGTTTCTTTGGCTTGGTTTATGTCTTGTTGTGAAATGTTGTTTTTGTGAGCTTTTTGGGGTGGTTTCACCTATTTATACTGGTCTCCACCTCCATTCTCAAATCTTCTAGATTTGTGGATATTTCTTGATATTTCCTAAGATTTTTAATAACATTGTGATCAGGTGTCCATGTTGTAGATATTTATAGGACTTTCTAGAATTTCTTTAATTTATTTAAGTATCTTAATGGTTAAGTTTCCACTTTATTTAATCATATGATGATGAGATGTCCATTTTCTAGAATTTTTAGAGTTGTTTAGTTATCTTAATGGTTAAATTTTCAATTCATTTTAATCACATGGTGATTAGGTGTCGTTTTCTTTTTTGTAGAATTTTGTAGATCATCCTATTTTTTTTATAGAATTATTTAGGCTGTTTTCAGCTCAGGATAACTAACAGAAGGTTGTTCAGTCACTAGTACATCAATGTTTTCCAAGAAAAATATTTTCTGGTCATTAATCTCATTTGGTAAGGGTTCAAGGAGTTCAGGTAGTTCAGGTTCATGCTGAATTTCAACAACATCATTGCTTGACTGATTCCACTCTTCCAATTCACGACAGACACCAGTCATTAAATCCTGAACAAGAATACCTTGTGCTGAGATATGCTTCTATAGCTCAATCAACTCATGCTTTACTTCCACGGCCTTTTCAGATATCCTACAATATGAAGAACAACAAAATTTGTATTCATATAATATGGTTGAGTTAAGTTATTTGAATTGTTACAAAAATATGTTGTTTTATAGTTCAGGTTGCAAACTTGTTAGAAATATTAAATACGAATCATTCATAGCCTTCTAAGTTCTACTAACAGTTTAAGCTTTTGCAAAGCTAGGCCTTTCAACCATACAGTTAAGTGTCCAATACTTTACACCCATGTTCCCCAGATTAAATTAATTTTCATCTCAAGATAGAGAGCTAGTGCTTTGTGCAAATTTCAAGTTCAAGCCCAAAAAATAGCTTGTGTTTCAGGGTGTGTTGAACATAATAAAGTATAACCAACTTACTGTGCAATCTATCAACAACTTGAGCTTTTTCTTGATAGAACTAAACAAATAAAAATAATACCAGCTTGTTCCTCATCCTCCACTACAACACCCATACAACAGAAACCTCTAACAAACTATGCTTGCAACAGGACTGGTGAATTACAATGGTTACTTTGCTCACTTAATAATGCTACCTATAATTCACACTTACCACTCGAGAAAATGAAACTTTCTTAGAACCAAATTGGTATGGTGGGTGGGAACGGAGCTGATAAACTCACGAGTCAACTTTCAATACAACTTCACTAAAAATTATCTATGAATTTTTTATCTCCATTAAGATGTTAACCATTTTCTGAGACAGCTATTAAAGGCATGGTAGATCTAATTAACAAGCACCCTATTCCCCCCATTCCAATTTGAAAAATATCAACATAAAATTTACAAGCGAGTTCTTTGCAAGAAATTACCAATCAAGGAAATAAGATCGCTAGCTTCTGTTTCTACTATAGAATCAACAAGCAAATGTATGCCGTACGTTCCATTTTACACTGATTCAAGAAAGAAGAACGAAAAAAGCAAACATATAAATGACATATGCTACCTCAAGAAAGCCAAGAACTTGGAGTGCATGTTGCCGCATAAGTTTTCCACCGCATATTTCAAGTCTAGAAGCTCGTAGCAAAACTTTCTAATCCCCTGAAAGTTAGGCAAGTTGGTTTCAGCACCTTGTGAAATTATAAAAAAAATCCCAAAATAGTTTGCAGTTAACTTACAAATCTTTTGCTTTTCCCTTTGGCGAAGAACTCGTGCAAGACCACTACCACATTTCGAGACAGCTCCTCGGAGAGGTTTGTGGATTTGGTGCACCACTCGCGAGAGCTCCTTCGAGACCGCGCGTTTGTGGATTTGGATGACTAGAAGAGCCTGCGAGAGTGTGTGTTGAATTCGTGAGAGAGACACTGTGTCGAGAGGTTTGTGGATTTGGCGCACCACTCGTGAGAGCTCCTCCGAGACCGCGCATTTGTGGATTTGGATCACCAGAAGGCCCCGCGAGAGTGTATGTTGAATGGCGCAAGAGAGACGCTGTGTCGAGATGGTGAAGGGGCTGCGAAAATTTGGCTTTAGTTTTACATTGGTTAAATGCAAAACCCGGCCTAAAATAATATTGTCATTCGATTTTTACATCGGTCAGAAATAGACTCGATGTAGAATAGTTTACATCTTCAATTTATTTATAAAACTGCCACCGCGTTTCTTATTTACATCGTTTGTAGAGGAACTAATGTAGATGTAATGATGTAAAACAGTAATTTTGTAGTAGTGTTACTTATAATTGGGATTTATTTCAATTGGATGTGAATAATATTTTTCTTAATGGCTTCTTGGAAGAAATAGTTTACATGATGCAACCCCTTGGATTTGAAGTTGAAGACAAGTTTCTTGTTTGTAAGCTCAACAAGGCTCTCTATGGTCTTAAATAAACGCCTAGGCAGTGGTTTGACAAACTTAAGTTCACTCTTATTGAGTTTAGTTTTCAGGCTAGTAAATGTGATCCTTCTTTGTTCATGTGCAAGCATCAAGATCAGATTATCTTTCTTCTAGTCTACGTGGATGATATTATCATTACTAGCAGTTCTTCTTAATTTATTCAGCAAATTATTGATCAACTTAACTCCACATTTTCACTGAAATAGCTGGGCCAATTAGACTATTTCTTGGGTATTGAGATCAAACATCTACTTGATAAGTCCCTTCTCATGACTTAAAGCAAGTGCATTAGAGATCTTCTACATAAAACCTCAATGGTTGAAGCTCATCCAATTTCTTATGTTATGCTCTCTGGCTGCAAATTATCCAAGTCCGGTGCTAATTTATTTTAGGATCCAACTTTTTATAGGTTTGTAGTTGGTGCTTTGCAATATGCTACTCTCACAAGACCTGAAATAAGTTTTGCAGTTAACAAAGTTTGCCAATTCGTGGCAAATCCCTTATATTCTCATTGGGTGACTGTGAAAAGAATCCTAAGATATCTTAAGGGTACTATTTCTCATGGTCCTTAGATGAAATATGTTCTTACTGGCAAATCTTTCTCCATTATAGCAATGTGTGATACTGATTGGGCCTCTAATATTGATGACAAAAAATCTACCTCTGGTTTTGCTATATATTTAGGACCTAATTTGATTTCTTGGTGGTCTAGAAAGCAACAAGTTATAGCTTGATCCAACACTAAAGTTAAATACCACAGTATAGCTCACACCTCCGTTGAGTTAACATGGGTTCAGGCTTTGTTACAGGAACTTTAGGTTCCTTTTTCCATTCCTGTTCTACTTTGTGATAACCAAAGTGTAGTAGTTATTGCTCACAATCCCATTTTTCATAGTCGCACTATACACATGGAAATCAATGTATTTTTTGTTTGAGAGCAGGTTTTATCCAAGTAGCTTCTAGTTTACCATATTCTAGCTTTGGATCAATGGGCAGATGTATTGACCAAGCCTCTTTCTCCAGACAGATTTCAATTTCTTAGAAACAAAAATGTGAATAGTTTTTCTGACAAACCTCCACTTTGAGTTAGAATATTCTAGTTGTCACCTGTCCTATTTGTTATGGTTTGTTATTTTGTAATCATCACTTTCTAGCTGTACCAATAAGGGGTGGCTTCTATAAAAGGCTCCCATTGTATTCCTTTACAGAATGAGTGAAATGAAATGAAATATACCCTTTTAAAACTTATTTTTTCTCTTCGATCTTCTCTATCATTCTAGCATAGTAATTTTGAGCCAAATTAAAAGAAGGAAAAGTATAACTAAATTTAGCTAAATTTTAATTTAGAGATTTTCTCTCTTAACTGTATTTATTCTTGATCTAAACTCAATAAATTATCATTTAGGTTATAAATTACTTAAATTTTATTAAATTGAGTTTCTCAGATTTTATAGCGTGCTCACAACGCTATTCGAGAAACAGTCAACCTTCACTCCTGTAAACAAATTTTTCCTACTAGCTTCCCTCATCAATCCTGTTAGACCTTCCACCACAATAGTGAAGAGAAATGGCGACAAGGGGTCTCCTTGTCTAAGTCCCCTATTCATTTTAAATTCCTCTGAGGGATTGCCATTGATTAACACTGAAACATGAGCTGACTCCAAGCATGCCCGTATCCATTGAATCCATTTAGGATCAAACCCTAGTCTTCTTAGCATATATAAGAGGAACTCCCAATTTACTGAGTCATACGCCTTCTCGTAGTCCACTTTAAAAAATATACAGCTTTTCTTTTCCTTTTTGACTTCATCCAGGGTCTCATTTGCAATCACCACACTCTGCAATAAATTCCTCCCTTCTAGGAATGCACTTTGCCTATCATCGATTACTGATGGTAGTACTTTCTTCAATCTATTAGCCAAAATCTTAGCTAGTATCTTGTACAAGCAACCAACCAATGAAATAGGCCTGTAATCACCTAAAGATTGGGGATCATCAACCTTAGGTATTAACGTGATGAACGTCGAGTTTGTGCCTTTTGGTAATTTACCATTTGCATGAAATTCTTTCATCATTCTCACGATATCCTCCTTCACAGTTTCCCAAAAAGATTTGATAAACTTGAAATTGAATCCATCTGGACCTGGACTCTTGGAACTATCACAGTCCCAAACTGCCATTTTGATTTCCTCTAGATCAATATCTGCTGTTAATTGACATTTCTCCCTGTCTGAGATCTGTTTAAACTGAACCCCTTCTATAAGTGGTCTCTCCCAATGTTGTTCCATAAATCTGTTGTGGAAGAATTTCTTCACTTGGAGCTTAACCTGTTTTGGGTCGTCCATCCACCTGCCATCCACAAACAAGCCTTTTAATGAATTTTCCTTCCGTCTCCAATTTAGCATCCCATGGAAAAATTTTGAGTTCCTATCCCCTAGTTTTAACCAAGAGACTCTGGATTTTTGTGCTAATATTGATTCATTTCGGGTGGCCACTTCCCAGAATTTTTCCTGCAACTCCCTCTTCAATAAAATTTCCTCCATTGTTAATTCACTTGATTCTTCTTTTTTATCCAAGTCATTCATTTTGTTTGAAATAACCTTGTGTTGAGTCTCTAGGTCATCTGACTTTCTTGCGTGCCAATCTCTTAAAGTGATTTTGAGTTGTTTCAGTTTGTCTTTAACCACAAATGCCCCCCAGCCATGTACATTCGTCTCTTCCCATGTCTTTTCCACCAGGGGTCGGAAGTCCTTATCGTGCAGCCAACAATCTAGGAATCTGAATGGTTTGGATCCCCAATCAACTTCTACGTTCTTTAATAAAATTGGACAGTGATCTGAGATATTTCTATCCAGAACCAAATGTTAGCGTCATCCCGTCGTGATCCCGGTTACGACAGCCTTTATTATAACATAACTATTAATTAAGCATTCTTAGAGATGAATAAAAAAACGTGATAAGTTTTAAAAGTAAGGAAAATTTTCATTGACCTCCCTTAAATTTTTTTTTAAATAACACACACCTCTCTTCTAGTATTTAAGTGAACATTAACTTTCTTTCTTTATTTATTTAAGTAACACGTAATCTCTTATATTAAATAATAGCACTTATGCATTGACAACACTGTTAAGAAAGAACAAATTATTAATGCAAGTGTCAACAACTTAATAAGATTTTTTTTTAGTAGTAAATTTTGACTCCCAAATTATATCCTTATATAATATGATGTGTATTGTGATTTAAAAAATATACTAATTTTAAGAAACAAATTTAAAGAATAGATTAAGAAATTATTATTTTTAAAATTAAAATAATAAAAAATTTATATAAAAAAAAAGAGAGAGATAACAGTGAACGTAATTTAAAAAAAAAATTGGTAGACATGTTTAGATTGATAAAATATAAAATAATTTTTATTTTTTTCATTTTTTATTCTAATTAATAACATTATTTTAGAGGACGAGAGTGATTCTTAAAAACTAAAACAAATATGTGTTCATTTAAATATATGTGGATAGGTAAGTGCAAATTTTCCTTAAAAATAAAAAAAGTTGAAGACAAATGCAGGATGGGGTGATTTACACTCAAGGGTTTGATATTAAGCATGACATGAAGGGAAGATACAAGTCAATTATTATATTACAATATTGCTACACTAAATCACCTACTTGTTAAAACAATTATTCACATCATAATAACAATCACATTGTGGCATTATATACACAAAGTTATGGTATTGTACTAATTTGCCGTCCTATATATATTGTCCCAAACAAGTTGTGATATACATACTAAAAAAAGAAAGGTATCTCATATGATTAGTACTGGAAAAACGTGAAATTGATCAGTAATCAGTAACCAATTCAAGCATGAATTGGTACTCACACCGAGTAAGGCAAGCAGTTTCTTGGGAATGTGCATCTTTTAGCTTATGTTTGGCAGAGAGAAAAAAAAAAGGGTAAGAAATAGAATAAAAAAAATAAAAAGTGAAGAAAAATAAGTACAAAAAATAAAATAGAAACTTAATTATTTAATTAAAGAGAAATAAATGCAAAATAAGGTGTATATATAAGAAATAGAAAAGAGAAATAAATAAATAATTAAGATTCATCACCTTTTAATTTCTCTCCTTTTTATTTCTCTTCAATCAAACAATCTCTCATTTTCATTCTCTTCATCTTATTTCTTATCCATTTCTTCTTTATTAAATAAAGTCATCTTATTTCTTATCCATTTCTTCTTTATTAAATAAAGAGTTAATGTTACATAAAGTAATACAAGCATAAGCATATGTAATACAAGCATAATCACTTTATGGTAAAATTGATTTTAAAAATATATTTATATGTTGAGATTTTTAAATTAAATTTATAAAAATAAATATTAGTTAAATTTTAAATATTTAACAATTTTAAAAATTAATATTAGATAATATTTAATAATTTTAAAAATATTTTTGAATATTCAATAATTAAAAAAATGAAGAGATAAAAGATAAGATAAAATATATAAGTGAAATAAGAAGAAAAAAAATATGAGGAATTTCAAATTCTTACTTTTTTGGAAGAATTTGAAATTCTATTACTTCAAGAAATTTCACAAATACTTGAATTTCAAACTCAACCTAGAG